ACATCTCCTGGCAGCTCAGCTTGCTGGAGGTACGCAACTCCTCCCTGCGCCGCCGTGCCGTCCTCCTGGGCTGCGAGCCCAGCAAGGTGGGCAACGAGCGCTGCGACCCCGAGTGCGAGCATCCTCTGACGGGCTACGATGGCGGGGACTGCACTGCTTCTCCTGGAAGCGACGCGATGGCGTCTGCCACATGGAGTGCAACAATATGTTGGACGACTTTGACGACGGTGACTGCTGCGATCCACGAGCCACTGACGTGGCCAGGACCTGCTTTGACCCCGACTCGCCTCAGCGGTAGGTGTGGGGCTCATGGGGAGGGTGGCATATCAAGGGGTGGGGTGCACCATCTCACAGACAGCCGCTCTGCACCTGGATGTTGCTTCCGACCGGCGGCTTTCCAGTGTGGGAAGATGGAGGGGCGTTTTCCCACGGGATGGCTGTGCTTGCCATCGAGGGCAAGTAAATCCTACGGCACGGCATGGCACCCCTCTGTGATGCCCTGCCATTAAGTGTTTTTCCTTCCTAAAATGAGAGGGGACTGCTGAGCTGCCAGTCTCTGGTGACACGCCAGTGGGATCGCCGGCATCCCCGGGGTGGGCAGAGCGGCCCCGTGCAAAGGGTGCTGCTCCCCCTGACCCCCTTGCACGGGATGCAGCAGGGAGATTGCTTTCCCTTCCTCACCTTCCCTGGACATATCTAAAAGCCTCATTTCTTAATTTGTATTCAAAACGCCTTTGCCTGAGTGCTGGGGTGGGGAGAAGGAGGCGATGCTGCGAGGTGTGAGTGGCAGGATTTGGTAACACGTGGATTGGTATGCATGAGCCTCCCCAAATCTGGCCGTGGGGAGATGCCCTTGGATGGGCACGGGCAGGGGCTGATCAAACCCTGCACTTCAAAACCAAGTGGTGGGTGGGGAGCAAATCCCCCCTCTTCAGGCAAAGGCACAGGGTGGCTGCTCGATGCCAGCGGAAGATGTGTGCCTTTACCATGTGCCGCAGGTGCAAAATGCCTTGCAAAGCCCACGTTACTCTGTGGAGCATCAACACGCAGTGTTAGGGGACCTTCGTTCTCCCTGGGGCCCTTTGGAGGCAGCAGCTGGGGTGGGATGGAGAGGGGGAACCCCGAGGTGGTAGGGACAGTGTCCTCGGTGCGGTCGGTGGCTTGCGCACACCTGCCCTCCTCCCTGAAGCCTCTGAAGGGCCGGCAGCCCTGCTGATGGCTTCCAGTGCTTGGAGCTCTGCCAAATGCGCTTTCCGGCCAAAGACAGGGAAGGGAAAAAAAAAGTCATG